CTACCCGCGCATCCCCGTCGGGAGAGATCTCCTTCTAGGCTAAATCGTAAAAAATTCTGACCATCATAGTTTACGCTCGAGGATTTTTTGCGATGACCGTAAATTCAGAGGCGATCCGTCCCCCATGTAACCCAGCATTACGATGATTTTATTTTTAAGACAGAAGTTATTGAGCGCAATCAACCAGGACGATTGCAGCATCCCTTAGCGCATCCTCTTTTTTGAGCTTTATTTAAACGGTGTACAACGAATCACGGCGCAAGTCTTAGGCACATTATTTGACGCATCATTCTGCCGTGCAAAGGAAAAACACCGTATGAACATTCGATAGTTGCCAAATTCCTTCGATAAAATGTATATTTTTGAGGAAAGTTATTAATATTTTTCCAGGAAATTTTCGGGAACTTTAGGTAAAATTGTGAACATAATCATCAGAACAATTGAAAGAAACTTATTGTTAGTCACATGTTTACCAGGATATTCGTGCTTTCTCAGAGTATATTTTACAACGCCTGAAGGTTCATGCGGCGTTTTTCCTCAGCACGGCAGCATTATTTCCATTCAGGCGTATTACAGACACCGTGGACCGTGGTCGCAAAAACAATTCGGGAGCTACAACACCAAGTCTATTGCGTGTGGCTGTGGCTACAATACAAAGATCTACCAAGAACCGTTGATGATGGATTCGATTGCAAGTCTTGGCTTCAAGGGACTACGTCCCCTGGTTGCTATTCGGCCCTGCCTCCAGGGGACGTATCGCGCCCCCTATAGAGCCCGCTTCGTGGGCTCCCTTGGGTTGATCTAAAAATAGCGGGTTCATCCAGATAGTCGCAAAAATAACGAAAATTGGCTCATTAGGACATAGAATGATAGAACAAATTGTGGCGAGAGTTCCAAAGAGACTTCCAAGCAGGAATCTTCGCATTCCTACCATGTTAATTCTTATTTTCTAAGATTTTCTGATGCACTGGTTAAGAGCCTGTGTACGTATTTCCGCGGAACACCTTTGATAATTTGAACTTCAAGATGTCTAAAAAAAAAAAAAAACTACCAGAAATAGACACGGAGAAAAAAACTTCGTGCGTGGGACCCAAAGTTGAGGTCATATGGATCTCTGAAGTTTTCGGATCACGTATCTAAAAGCTTGAGGTCTAGCTGCCGAAGTTCGGGTCACACATCTGAAGTGTACTCCGGTACATACCGAAGTGCCTCGATGTCTGACCCGAACTTCGGCAGCTCGACCTCGAGTTTTCGGGTGCGTGATCAGAAAACTTCAGAGATCCGCATGACTTCAACTTCGGGTCCCATGCACGAATTTTTTTCTCCATGTGTCATACTTTATTTTTTACATGGAAAACCAATCAACGTCAATTTTTGGAAACTTCCTCAATTTTTCTTCTCCTTGCGTAGAAAATTTTGTGAAAACTTCAAGGAATGACATTGATTTGAGAATTTCAGGCAGAAAACCTCAGATGGTCTCTACTACAGTGACTACTCATCGGCTAAGATTTTCTGATGCACAGTTTTAGGGCCTACGAGCTCCTGTCGGTTTCCGCAAATTGGTGCGTGCCGAAAGGCGTTCCGAATCGCATCGTGACGCACGGATTTCCGGATTTGCGTGCGGAGCGCCGCAGCTCGGCGTGATGTCGCACAGGCTCAGCACCGACTCGCACTTAAATCGGGAGAGTCGGGTCGATCCCGCCGCCGCCGTCGAAGCAACTTGCAAGGGCAAGGCTTTCCTGAAACCCGGCTGACAATGAAAGTGAAAGCATGAAATATAGCGGCGAGTCAAGCGTCCAGCACGCACCACTGCCTTTGCTTCCTTTGCGAGTGACCCTCACAACGTCATTGGCTTCTCAAACATACCGCGTGCACCTGTGCTCTCCCTTGCTATGATGGAAAAACGCCGTGTCAAGATCATGCCTTGCTTGATATAATGTTTAATTTCAGGCAGTTATGAAACATTTTTAGACAATTTAAACCATGCGAACTGAAATTTTCGAAAAATTGGAAGCGAAATTCACTTGAGTTTTATAGAAAATTAGTGTTTCATCAACGACAATTTAGCAACCTCCGAAGACGTTGAATACGATGACATTAGCACGGCAATGTGTACGTAGAGATAAGCGCAAAGCTCCAAGTAGCAATTTCCAACGGAAAAAGCTTAGTATTATGAATGGAGTAAGTTGCGATTTCTTTACGATTTTTTTTATGAAAAAATCGCTAAGATCATTAACATCTCAGTGATTTTCCTCAATTTTGTCGCGATTTTATCTCTATACCATCGCGTTCGATAAAATCGAAATTTGATCTCAATTTATCACAATTTTTTGTTCGATAATATCGCGATTACATTGCAAGTGTATGAAATGAAATCGCAATTTATCGTAATGTTTAATATTGCAGTAAAGCTACGTTGATAAAATCGCGACGATATATCATCCGATCAAATCGCAATTAACATATTGCGATTACTGCTACCCGGGTCCCGGGTGTGTAGAGAGCAAACCCCCATTTCCAAAAATTTCAATCGGTTCAACCAATAGGATCGCTCATTTCCCATTCGTCTTCTTTGTCTCCTAGTTCGTCGATCAATTTCACTAATCAGCCCGCAGTAGCAAACACTGCAGACATCGTACAAGGATACATCACGCGCCTGGGAAACATTTCCTGAGCCGGCCGGGCCGAAGAGCGCTTGAGGATCGTTACCGCAATGTAATCGTCGGTTGCAATGCGGAATTAAGCAACAGGTGCCAAACCGACAGAGGATGACTTTCACGGGCGCTAACAATGTGCCGATCAGCAAATAAGTTGTAATACTGATTCGTCTGGAGAGTCTCCTCGGGTGGTGGGGTGGGGGTGGAGCCTCTAGTTTGACGAGAAAGCTAGCTGGAGATGTTAAAAAGAGCCGTCAATATTCAGACAAGACGGGAACTAAGGCCCACGGCAAAACCACCCACTCAACGTCGTTGCCGTAATGGACGGCTCATTACCAATACAGCCTTATTTGCGATGGGAGTATCTGTACAGGGAGAGTATTGCTTTGTCGATACTGACCTAGGATTCGCTTCACCAGTTTCAGACCACTCATGAGGAATTAAGGGACCGATTAGGGAAAAATTTGCACTGTAACGATTAGGACCGATAAGGGAAAAATCTGCACTGTAATTGGGAGAATCGTTGGATTATTTTAAAATATTGCTGTTTTCCGAGTAGCATGGGATCATTTTTCTTGCGGAAAAATTGAACTTCTCGACTGATAAATCTTTCAAATTCATTTCGCACTTTTAAGGCGAGGTGAGGAAAGAAGAGAAAAAAGAAAAATGAACAATGTGGAGAAAAAGAAGAAGAAGAGAGAGAGAGAAAAAAAAGAGGATGAGAGCTGAACAAGAAAGGTTTCTTTCTTATTTTTCTTTCTTTCTCCTTTCCCTCTTGTTCTTGTACTTCCTTCTCTTTTACATTCTCTTCTTTTACTATCACTCCTTCTTCTTCCCTCCCCCTGTTCCACCGACTTCTTTTACTCCTTTTCCCTCTCCTGCATCTCCCTCTCTTTTTTTTTGTCCCTTATTGCTTTCCTGTTCATACCAAGTTAATGGCTCGAGTGTAGAGTCAAATTTAGTTGTTTTTCTTAGCTTTTCGTTCAAGTCTCCTGGGCTTGATTCTTGAATATGAGAAGAAAGAGGGCTTTTAAACTGAATATTACTTAAGTAAGAGATGTTTGCCATAGCGGGCTGACTTTTGATATCGGTAGACAATGCTATGCATAAAGGAAACATGAGAAAAATGGAGCGATCCTGTTGGTTGAAACGGGTGGTTGTTATGTAGTTTAAGGGGAAAGTAATGGACCAACTATGGGGTCCCTCCTGCAATGAAAAACAAGCAGGAAGCTCCAACGCATTCGCGTCGGAAAGCGGCTCTGGCGACGGTAGTTGTTACGCGTTTACGGTTTCCTTGGTAACCTTTGTTTGCTATCAGCTGATGTCGAGTAGTATGACTAGGAAGCTCCAACCACGGTATTCTTCGAAAAAAGCGCGAAAACTTATAGATTTGAATTTTCAAATTTTAAACGTAAAGTACATTTTTTCCAGTGCTAGATTAAAGTACAGACCCGTTTTGAATTATTGACAGTATCACCATGATTCCAAAAATACACTACACAACATAGCATTCGCTCACAGGAAAAAGATATCAATTAAAATAAAATCAGTCCCCCCTAAACAGCAGAAAATGGCACCGATTCCCATCAACCAACGCGCGGTCTCTCCAATGTAACATGGTCCAATGATACTCCCCAGCTGGGACCGTCCGGAATAGCAGCTCTAGTGCAAGCACCAGAGCCGCTAAAAGTCACGGGCTATATATAGATATACCGTCTGTTCCGGACTCAGAGGCTAGAAGTTCCGGATACTGGAGCCGTAGCTTAGATTGCTCCGGGTGATCCGCCCGGAACTTTCGGCCTCTGAGCCCGGAACGCGGACGATATGTCTGCACAACCCGTCAGTACGGCTTCCACGACCGGCGTTTTTTTGGGTCAGTGTGGGTTGCAATTGATTAGTCTACCACTTACCTCCTTTGTTAAATGCAACCACCAGCTTCCATCAACAGTATCGCTGCATTTTCTTTTTTTCCTCTTTGTCTATCGCTTTGTCTTAGAGTTTCGATAATGAGCCAACGGGGCGATTATTGGAACTGATGGACAAAGCGATGGACAAAGAAGACATAGGGAGTATGGAGCGACCTTATTGGTTGACATGGTTGGTTCTTATAGACTAAGGAAGAAAATTATGGACTAACTGTCGGGTCTTTAGTGGGTTGCCATTAGTCAGTCCATTACCTACCTCCTATGTCCATTGCCACCACCAGCTTCCACCAATAGGATCCCTCCAAATCCCTTTTGTCGTCTATGTCTATAGCTTGGCTATTAGTTTCGATAATCGGCCGGCTGCAGACTCATGTTAAAGGGTGAAATTGATGGCGAGTGTGACGCATTTTTGTTTCAGTTGGCAAGGGGACAGAAACGGCTCACAGGAGGGATCACGCCCTTGGAGGACCCTCACTCCGTCGGCGTGGAGATGAGCAACTCGGAGCTGTCGGTGGTGATGCCTAACCGGTTGACGCGGCAGGCGCAGGCGGCGCGACTCGGGAACGAGATCGCCGAACACGCCCGGAACCACCGCGTCGGACTCCGGAACCTCCAGGTCAACTGCGAGAAGGACTCCGCCAGCATTTTCGTCACCATCGAGTTCGAGGAGCCCTTCGACGGCGTCGTCTACAGCAAAGGCCACCACGAGGACCCCAATTGCAGGTAATTCAGTAAAAGCTTATCTCATCCACTCTTAATAGGGACAAACGGAGACAAGCAGAGACCTTCCACCAATGCGACAAGCCTCCCGCAAATCAGAACGAAATTGTCTGGCAAAATGTTCGAAATCTTCCGGATTATTGTTTACAATTTTCCGGAAAAATTCTCGATTTGTAAATCTTCCGGAAAAATTATCGATTTGTAAATTTTCCGTAAAAATGATCGATTTGCAAATCTTTCGGTAGAATATCCAGAAAGGTAGAAATCTCCCAATTTCGGATAATTATCCGGAAAATGGGAGGCATGCAATGCAACTTGGTAATGAGTGGAAACTCTAATATTCAAGATTTCTCTATAGACAATTATGAGGGGATACGCTCCGCGTAATATTCATACATACATATCAAGCGCACACACACCTCAGCGCACTAGAGCGCTCTGCGACTCCAAATCGCCATCGGAATCGATCCTCCCACAAATCATCGGACAGATTACACCGTCTGATCTCCCCCTCCACTCCCTCCCGCCAACCTTTTACTGGACGTCCACGCCGCCTTCTTCCGGGAGGAACCCAATCAATATATATATATTCGATAGCGATTAGCGTAATATTCAAGATGCAATTTTATCAAATCGCGATTCTGTAATACGCTTGACTGAATTATTACTTTGTACCTTTGTCTACGTACTCTGTGTCCTTAAAACCATGCTTGACGAGACATAGATCCAACTTTTAAATCCAGACATTGTGTCCCAACCTAATCGAGTTCCATATAACAAATGTCTTAGACTGAATTAATTTTGACACGTATTGGATCCTTTCCAGAAATGAATCGTGTCCAATCTTCGTTTCCCACATTATGGATGTGCACTGCAGTAAAGAGGCTAACATCAATATGGCATTAATTCACTTCTTATCCGCCCATAAGAGAGTAGCTATGAAAATAATTGAGAGGATAAAACTAGTCAAGGCGACCATGTAGCGGTGCGCCGCCAGCAAGAGGATGCTTAAACGACGGTCCCTGTTTCATCAAGTAATCATACCGCTTAGTTCACTTCATAGAGCGTTGCACAACACCAATGTTAGTGAGAGATAGATTGCAATGGTTTTATAAGGTGTCCCGTCCAAAGGCTACTTACCGAACTGAGCGCATCTGATAGCCCGGCTATAAATAAAAAGTAGCTTCGTGCAGAGATAAGCTTTGTCGTTAAAGGCCATCCCTAAATTACGTAACGCTTAATTTACGATTTTTTGAGATTCTCCCCACCCCCTATACCACCCCCTATACCGCCCCATAACGCTATTTTAGACCCCCCTAAACATTACGTGACGCTTGCCCGGACTCTCCACCCCATATTTTGATTAAAAATAATCTAATATCACCTTACATTTATAGAACGGATTGGCGTTTTTATTTAGTGAGGAAAAGTGAAAATATTGCAGGGCATATTTTCAAGATTCTTCATGAATCCTGAAGACGACCGAAGGTAGACTCTACAGAAACTTGAAAAAAAAAATCACTCAAACTTATGTGACTTTCCGCCCTATACCTGCTACTACCCACCCTCCGTAACGCTGGCAAACACCCTCAGCCCCTTTTGGAGCGTTATACGTGATTTAGGAACGGCCCCACAATAGTGTTAGTGTTTTTAGAACTTAGGGGTTCAGACTTAGATCTAACTATATTTGTGTCCCCTGGACGAAATTCACTCCAGAGAAAGACATTTTCGTATGTGGAGATGCATTTATAAAAGCAGTTAGTATGTAGGTGTACTGAATCTTATATTACGTACAGGAAACATGACAATTGTGATAAGAATGATGCTATGAAATATGAACTTCGCCGGAGATAAATGTTCGAAAGAATGTTGAGGCAATTATTTTCACGCAACAAAAATGCAATCGCAACTTCAAGAGGAACGGAATATATCGACAAAATAACGGTGATCGAATGTTAAAAGTAGGAGGTCGCAGATGTACCAAAAGAAAATTACACTCAAGATTTTATTCGGTAATATCAAAAAAGCTAATGGAAGCGGCCGACGGATTTTTAAGTGCATCAATCACGCAAGCACGTCAAAAAAAACCGCCACACCTCCGAAATCTCAGGAATATCACTAGCGAGTTCAACTTTAAGCACGAAAGTTCCTCTAGGAAGAACCACCCGCGCCGCCCGCGCGCGACCAGGGCCCAGGGGTCAGACATGTTTCAAATTCATCTCTCGCTCATTAGGTTGATGAGCATTAACTAACCTTTGTCATCTTCTACGCTGTCAGATTTCACGATATACAATGGAATCAGAAGACAGAATGAGAATCAAACTTTCTCAAGTCATGATTGTTTCCTCGCCAACATTTTAAGGAGGAAACATACCACTTATCGAACACTTCCAAAATTATCTCATGAAATGGACGAAGTTTGACAAAAATGCACTAAGTCATATTTAAGAAAAAAATGAGGGTTTACAGCTTTAAATTCATGGGCTTCGAGAAAAGGCGCATCAGTCCAGTTTTTGCCAATTAAAGAACTATTATATGTTATAAATTTTTAAAATCTCGTGGAGCCTTCTCTCGAGAAGAAGCACAAAAAGCAGCAAAAAATATTGGATTTCATCGGTGGAGTTTTTTGTAAAATATACTAAAGGATTAGTTTTACTTGAAATTATCATCAATTTTTTCATGAATTGCAGTTATTTGTCTCGTCCTCAAATCCCGCCAATTCGACTTGTATTGAATTTTCATCCGTCGCAAAGCCAAAGTCGAGGGAAAATAATGTTTCCCAACAGTTTCCGAGTGAACTGTCGTTAAACTCTGTTCTTGAATCTTTCATGGAGGTATAAATCCTCTAACCTCCTTTTACCGATTCAAACTTGATGGTAATAGGTGCGTCTCTGTTTAACGCATTCCGAGAAATTTTTGTTTTTTCGTTTCATGCATTAGAATCTATCGATCCAAAATTCCCACCCGTGAAAACCCGAAATCAATGTTTGTGAGGTCCTTGTATTCCATACTGTGCTGCGCAAAATGGACCGAGTTTAACAGAAAGGAACCAAGCCACATTAGCTATTTCCAAATTTAACGGGGCAATTCAGCTTTTTACAAGAGAAGGTTTTTGCGCGGATTCCTTTGAAAATTTCAGGGAATTTGCTTCGTACTATGCAGAAAATTCACTGAAATTTGCACAAAAACCCGCACTACCGTTTTCATGTAAAAAATTAAATTGCCCGGTTAAATTTGGCAATAGCTGATGTGGCTTGGTTCCTTTCTGTTTACCGCGGTCTAAATGACAATCTTGTTTCGTCGTCCTTCTTTTTTCTAAAGTTACGAAACGGGAGGGACGGTCGATTTTTTGTCTAAGCTGGCTTTCCTGCCTATCGTCGGCGTAGTCGAAGGATGCAGAACTGCACAGTGCGAAGACTCCGTTTCCATGAATGGAGCGGAATCTACGATGCTGCCCCCAGATGAAGCTTTATCTGATTGTGGATGCAACTTGAGTGCGCCTCGTTAGTCGTTGGGCGATGCGCTATGCAACTGCAGCGTACGAGACACTGTTTGCCGCTTGCCGCGGGATGCCTCGAATTATTTACGTGCAAAAGCCGGTAGTTGCTTCAATCCGCTCATCACTACTGACAATTCTGACCAGCTTTGAGTGCATGGTGTAGTCTGCATAGGTGTAAGGGAGACATCGCTTCCTCTGTGGAATATGGGTTGAGAAAGCTGTGCCTGTGATTAAAATATTTAAAATTTTGTGGGAACCTTTGAAGAAATTGAATTTTCATTTCAAGAAAAAATATGAGTTGACTTATAGTGATAAAGAAGGAAATTTAATTAAAATATGGGTAAACAAGGCTAAAAATTATTGGAACACTAAAAGGCAGAACGTTTCGAGCTGCTACCAGCTTATTTTCAGA